CACTTTAAATTAAGGAACTAAAAATGTGTATATTTAAATAAATTTAACAAAATAATTGATAGAAAGACTAAAAAAAAAATGAACTAAAAAAGTACATAAAAAAGTTAAATGATAAAAATTATATATGACATTAAAGTTGAAGATCAAAAATGAAATTTACCCTTTTAAATTTGAATTGAGTTGTACGGACAACTTTTGTGTATTTCCGTTGCAAGCTATGAAGAAGCCCTTAGCCCAAAACGATGTCGTCGTTTTGGGCTAGGGAATCCTTTTTTTTTTTTTTATAATTTGCAGTGTGTATCGGTCGAAATTCTAATGAACCGGCCAATACACCAAAATTTTGGCCGATACATCGGATTTTGATTAAAATGATCGAATTTTGACTAAAACAAAAATTAATATTATATCGTTTCGGTTAATTTTCAAAATCAATACATACTGACCGGTATGGTACGGTTTTGACTTCTTTGGTTTACATCCTATTGGAAGCCTGTTGACAATGAGTGGAATTGTGGTTAGGGCCTGCAACTGATTTATGGGGTTGAGGCTAATGATCTCGAGTCTTGGTATCTGAGTCCCAAACGATTATCCAAGGCTATCGTATGGTTTGGGATGCTGGAATAGAGGCAATTGCCACTGATTCATTGGAGATGGAAATCAAAGCACTAATCTAGAAGGAAAGGAAGATTATAGCCAATTGTGAGATGATTAAGGATGTATTGGATGATGGGGGCACTATTTCCCTTTCAAGCTAGCTGTTCTTTACATGCGGTAGGGCTATCAGTGAGAAGGATTGTTGATAACTTATGCCAAATCCCACCTATTCAGTAGTTCAGGATGCTTATGGTCACTTTTTTTCCCTATACTTTAGTAGCTTTATTATATTATAAAGTGATTGTTAATGCAATCACTAAGCCAAATGATTTTATATACTTAATTGTTTGTATTTATTATGAGTATAATTTAAATATATATTTAGTATTATAAAATATGTTTGTACTTTAACTATAAATGCTGTGATATAGGGATTATTATGTAATCTTAACTTTATTATTTTAATACAATCTTTATTTTCTATTAAAAAAAATTTCTAACCCAACCTATTTACTCATTATTTTTTTGAAATGACTTTTTTTAAGAATTATCCCAAAAAACAACATGCATTATGAATTTTTTGGCTTTTTTTTTCTTGACCAAAAAAAAAAAAAAAACTCTATACGTCTGTTTTAAAAATAAAACTAGTAAATGATGAGCCTAGGCTCTTAGCCCAATTGGTTAGATGGGCTCGTCATCTTTCTCTATCGCAGTGAACGGAGTTCAATTTCAATTCCCTCCCCTACACTAATCTGCTCAAAATAATAATAACAAAAAAGCCTAATAAATGATGAATCTTTATAAACGTCAACCTTTATCATAATAAGCTGACGCAATTAAGACCAAAAAAAAAAAATGATCTTGCTTTTTTATTTCAAGGAAATGTCAAGTACTATTTAATTTGAAGATTAGATATGGCACATCTCTTGATCGCAAACAAACAAACAACTATTAATCTCTTGGTATAGTCTCAAGGATAGTTTTTTTAAAAATTAATTCTTTTAAATTAATCAAGTTAATATAAGAGCACATGCACATCCTTAAGGTCATTTGAAAAAGAATTAATTGCGAGCTACACCACCTTGTCCGACCATTGATCTAGGTGCCTCTACCAAATGGATAACCACCACCATGCTAATAATCATAAGAGGGGAAAAAAAACAAAAACACCAAGTCTTCTTGTTGGGGTTTTGCGGCCGTGAGTATATTTTAATTGCTCGTTCTTTTTAACTTCGAATGCAAATTTGCTGAATAGATTTTTTTTGGTAGATTGTGTATGAGATCCTTGATGTTATTTATAGGTTTTCTGGGTATAAATAATTTTAGAAATGGATTAAAATAGAGGGTATTCTTTTATTTTTTTTCCAGCGTTTCCTTTTGAGATCCATTTATTCGCATTTATTTTTACGTGCAACTGCCTTTAAATTTTCTTTATATTTTTCTTGGTTTTATACACTGTGCTTAATTGGTTAAATCTATAGCACATAGAGTAATTCATTTTCAGCTCTAAAATATAGCAACAACAATTTTGCAAGTAGGATGCAACAACTTCTTATTTTAGTTATATATGATGCATATATCAACGACGATTTCCTAAACTCGAATTTAATTTGGAATTCATAAAAATTTTATATATATATATATATATATATTCACATGATAATGGCCAATATAGTTTTTATTTTTATTTTCACATGCATCCTTTTATATACCAGCCCTAATATTCTCGTTTCAATGTCAATATCCTCTGCCACTTCAGCCCCGTGTAATCTTAGAGCAG